TGACCCTCTTTCTGAAGCTCCTCCATAACGTTCTGCTGTACCGTTGTCATTGGTCTGGCAGACAAACCACCAGCTACGGTGCCGTTTTCCATTCTCAGTTTCCCTTTTAAGTACCATTTCTCTCTCTCCATACACGTCACCACTGAACGAAGTTTATCATAATTCGAAAGCAATTTCATATATTCCTCCGTTTTCTCTTTAAGCTTCTCTTTCAATCTCTCGGCAGTCTGTTGCCATTTTTTCTGTTTTTCCCAGAGGGAAAGCTCCTCCGCGGTCTACACGAAATATTGTACCCTTATTTACATTTATTTATCGCAAAGCAATTTTCCCCTGTGAATTTACAATCAAATATACCTTAGCCTTCTTCGCCTCTTGCGCCAAATACTCGCGATCTAATTGTGCTCGCACCTTTTCCAACTCCTCCTCTAAACTCTTCGCTTTACGTTCGAGCTGAGCTTCGCGCTGCGAAGCTCTCTTTTCCTGAGCTTTAACTGACATGTATCTGAGACAAAGCTGAATTAAATATACACATAAAACTAGACAATTGCACACGAACGTTTCTCAAAATCATACATATTTAATTAATCCTACGCCCGAAACGAAATGAAAAATATACAGGGTGAATCTCGTAACATGGCGACTTCAAATAACTCCTAAAGCATTTGCTGTACGAAAAAATATTTTACACAGAAGTTGCTTCGTTTCCAGGGGAGCATACAGTACTGTAATCGATTTGTTGTTATTTTGCTTTTTTATCGATATATTAATATTTCTTCTGCAATTTGAATAAAGCATCCAATTCTGCGTAAAAAAGTATTGTACCAAATAAGGTTTGAAATTAATTTCAACTCGTCATATTACGAGACTCACCCTGTATAAATATAAACCATTTGTAGTATTCCCCACAGTGATCTACCAAGCACTAATTGCAACAAGCATCTTCAAATGTGCTTTTCAAACTGCGAAAAGTATATTTTTCGCGTAAAAAAAAGTACCTGCGACTTAATTGCTGCTTCAAATCAGAGATTTCCTGCTTATACGTTTTCTCTTTTTCCAGCAACGACTGCAGTTGTTTGCGCACACCGTCTACATGTTGAGTATGATCCCGATGCGAAATTTGCGTAACTTCGTGCAGTTTCGACTCCGAATCTGCTTGAGTTATCGTTCGCTGAGTTTTAGCAGCCGACTCCATTAACTCGATCTCGTTCTTCGTATGAAAAACAATAAGATACGTTCAAGCTTTCACAACAAATCACGTTCAACCGAACATACCAATCACGATGTCTACGGTACCTGTAGCCGTTGACAAACGAGACCGAGTTCGTGAATCTTATCCTCCTTTTCCTGAAGCTCTTTCATCAGGGAAATGTTTCCTTTCGTCAGCAACATACGGTTCTCGGACAACTGTTTGCGCAGCATGTCGGCCTCAGACTGCCACTTTTTCAGTTCCCCACGGTAACTCTCCAATTCACTTTTATGTTGCTCTTCGAGTCTGGGTAAGAAGGAACGATTCTTGAAGGCGCATTCAGACTTGAACGGAGCGCTTAACTGAGTTGCGTAAAATCACGTCTCCACTTGAGCCTTGAAGGGAAATACTTAGAGCCGTGTCTCCATGTTTACTCTTTTTAAAGATGTCTGGCATATTACATAAGATCTGGGGTAGAGAGAACTTTTAGTTCTATTATATATTATTTCTATTTGTTACTTCTAATTCTATTATTTCTACTTCTGTTACTTCTATTTCTATTATTTTCATTTCCATAATTTCTATTTCAATAATATCTATTTCACTAATTTCTATTTCCATTATTTCTATTTCTATTATTTCTATTTCTATTATTTCTACTACTTCTATTCTCAAAATTCATATTTCCAACATTCCTATAGCAGCAAAGCGATTAAGAACCCTATTTACATTGCCAGCTTCAGGTGGAAACACAGCTTTACGCAGCTCAACGCTTGACCCAAGTCTAAACGTTCCATAAGACTCCATCGTTTCCACAAAGTAGCACCTCACCTGTCCCTCATGCGATCCATGTGCTTCAGTCTCTCCTCCGCCAATAAATGCCATCGATCACTCAACTCCTTCGTGATGTTCAGATCCGCCTCGAGTGTCGAAACTTTTTCGTTCAACCTCGCAATCTCCTCGGTCTGCATCACAACACTCTTAACATCAACTCTGGCCACAATTTCCTCAACTTTATCGGTTAATTTCTCCGGCTCGATCGTTGCGTTGCCTCTTTTCGTTGCAACGCCCTGCATCTCCGCTTGCATCGACTGTATACGAGCATGCAAATTTTTTATTTCCTCCTGCAAACGCGCGGCAGCCTTGCTGTGCTCGTCCCTATCCTCTTTCAGGAGATTCTGGTATCTGGTTATCGTCTCCTCCTTCTGGCCAATCAATTTCTGTAAACTATTTATCGTCGACTTCAAAGCTAGCTTGTCGCTACTTTCGCTACTCGACGGCTGCAACTGAGAAGGCGACTTGTACTCTTTCAACAGTTTCTCTTTCTGCATCAATAACGAATCCTTGTCTTCTATCGTTCTGTTCAATGCCTCCACTTTTGCTTGGTACTCGGTTATCTGTAATTCGTATTTGACTAATGTCGCGGATCGTTCAGAGGCCAGTTTTAAAGCCTGGTTCAATTGATCGTGGAGCAAGTGGATTTCTTGATCGTTGTTCCTTATTTCTTCCCTCGGTACTACTACTGTTTTTTCTGTTTCTTTAGACTCTACTTTCGAGTACACCAATTTTTCTCTCTGATCTGTTTCTGTATCTTCGTACTTCGTTTTCTCTGTCTGATCCATCTTCTTCTCCTTTGACTGTAATTCCTCTTCTGGTTCGATGTCTTTCAGCGTAGACGTGGTTTGCACCTCCGTTTCGCTTGTATTCTTCTTCTCCAGGCAACAAGTGTACGGGTCAGTTTGTATTTCCCCCGATTTAGTCGCTGTCGTTGCTTGTACCGATTCGTGCTTGTTCTCGAATTGTACAGGACTCGTTCCTGTATTGCACGTGGCAATTTTCATTTGCTGATCTTGACTCTTGCTCCAAGCCTTCTGGATCTGCATCATCTCGTGCTCCATGCTCGTTATAAGCGACTCGTATTCCATGAATTTGTTATTGGCGGTTTGTAGTTCGTACTCGAATTGCGTTATTTTTCGCTTGTACTTGAAATCCTGAGTAATTATTATTAGTTGAATTAAGTATTTTGAATTCTAAAATATGATTCGTATAGAAAGAAAGACAAGATAAACTATAACTGTTATTAGTCCGGCTATGTCAGTTTGTTCTGAAACGGGTTTCAATTGCATACAAGTTCATTCTACATGTAAAAATAAATCGGACAGATAGAATGACGTTTCTTGATTATCGTAAAACTTACTTTTTTTTAGATAATCGAGTTTGAATCTACTTATATAACATACGTGTATCTTCAATGCCTATTTTCTTAAAAAACGAAAACCTTTACAGAACGATGTTCTCCATAAAAGTAAAATTTATTTAAGGAACATCTTTAGAAAATCATGTGGAATACTGTAGACTCGTATTAAAGTATTGTAAAGGAGTAATATTTTAATGCCATTAATGTTGACCATTGCAAAATATTCTTAATTTCAGATTTTTGTAATAAACGTACGTTTAAAGTGTGCTGCGAATATTCTGAAAAACGTTGCATAATATCCTGAACGCTGTTACTTCCGATTTGCTGTTCCAAAATATCTTTCAGACTTCCAACGATCTGCAAGCGATTCGTAAGCGTTTCCTGTTGCAGTCTCGCGTTCTCGTGGCACTCTTTCGCGTACTTTAATTCAGAATCAATACTCTGTCGCTCGTCCTTCAATTTGGAAGACAGCAATGCGATTCTGTCTAGAGCACTGAGCGTAGCACAACCTGCATATTGATTCTGCAGAAACCCTATGACACCTACGTACGTTCTGCAAGTAGATCCTAGTCATTAAAATTCGAGTTTTCACTTCTAAGTCCTCCGAAGCAATTAAAAAACATTGCAGCAGTTATTAAAACTGAAGTACAAAAAAGAATCATAAAAAGTCATTAAACTCGTACAAGTAGAAGCAATGAGTATTAGACAGACATACTAGTGCTCAATGAATTTTCAAATTGAATTTTCTCGCAAACGAAGCTCCATACGGAATATGTCGTACACTTTGAATTTGTTCCTACACGTTAAATCCTCTTTTTCTCAGCCGTATCACGAATTGCTAGACACTCTAAATACTACAGTTTTATTAAAAATTACCAAAATTTTCTACAATCAATCACTGCTTAGGAGGACCTACACAACCCTAAAAAAATAATATCACCTGCACCGATGTTCGCATTGCTTTCGACTATCTTGAACGTAATTACGCAACCCCTCGCACGTTGCCCTCAATTTTTCCAGTTCCTCCTGCAAACGCGACACCTCGTTCTCGAGTCGTACGTTCTGCGCGTTCAGTTCGATCTCCGCCAGTTTCTTACTCGCCAGTTCGAAGTCCAGCCTCGAGATCGTGGCTTTGTCTTCGCTGACCGCCTGCAGGTCCAAAATCTGATGCCTCAGACTGTCCAGTTCCATTGTTTTCGACGTGTTCAGGGAGTACTGTCGTTCAGCCTCTTCCTGAGACACCTGAAGCAACTTCTTCAGGTTCTCGACCTCTATCCCCAACTCTGCATTATTGTCCTTCAGCTCCTGTACTCTATTATCATCTAATAATTCGGACTTCTCGAAAAACACCTCCTTCGACAGCCTCCTCTGAAGAACAATCAACTGTTCCTGCAATTCGGACTTCGCCGCGACAACTTCTTTCATATTCTCTTCACACTTCGCCAACTGGACTTGCAGAATTTCGTATAAACCGGTCATATGATCAGCCCGTTGTTTCTGTAACAATTCGTTCGCCCTGGCTTCCTTCAACTGAAGCGTTAAGTCCTGATCGTTCTCATAAGCGACTTCTTTCCGCAGAAGCTCGACAAGCTGATTCTTCTCTTGGTTCGTTAGTTCCAATTCCTTCTTTAGCAACCGTAACTCTGTATCGTTTTCTGTTGTACTGTTCTCTAATAAATTTCGTAATCGTATACTCAGTTCCTCGTGCCTCTCCTTCAACTCGTTGTACGCCGTTTTGCTGACGGAGTTCGACAAGTTACTCTGCAGGATCGAAATCTCGCATTCCAGGGTTTTGCCGTGCTTGTTCGCATCGGTGAGCGATTTTCTTAAGTTCGCCTCGTTCTTTATGGCGTCTTTTTGCTCCTGAGCGTCGTTCTTCCGGCTCGCGATAAGAACCTCACCAGCAGCCTCGACGTACTCCTTGGTTTTAATCGCGAAAGCTTTCCGAACCTCGTCCTCCCCCTCCTCCAAAATCTTCACGGCGCGCTCGTAAACTTCCAGCTGCAATTTCAACTTCGCGATCTCGTTCTTCAATTCGTCTTTCTGCTGCGTCAACGAGTCCTTCTGTCGGGACCATTCCTCCGCCTCGTTCTCGTAAGCTTCTTGCAGCTTCTTTGTCTCAGTTAAATACATCGCCATTTTCTCATTGTCCGACTCTTCCGCGTAAATTCTCTCGAGGCTTGTGTCCTTATTCGACGCCAGGGTTTGGAGTATATTATCCTTTCTTTGTAACTCTTTTCTGTAATTATTTCAATCACTTGACTCGAATACTTTCGGGTGGTTTCGATTAAAGGCGTATCGCACCATTTAGAGGATCGACAGAGTTATTTTTGTTTTTGGTCATGTGAGTCATAAGTTTGAAAGTTATTCGTGAAATGATAGGTGAAATGGGAACAGTAATTGGGAATATTTAATAATGTTTCACGAATGTACCTCAATGTTTTGATTTGCCCTCTTAATTCGGCGTTAGTGCCCTGTACAACGTTCAGGTGTTCCTGCAACCTCATCGCTGGATGGTACCAACCAGCCAAATGCCTCACGTCTAATGCTTCCAGCAGTCTTTCTAACGTACTAGACTGTATTTCAACTATGCTCTTACCTGAGATGTTAAATAATTTAATGCTGTATCGTAAGTTTTTATGCATGCAGACATTGTTAAGGGCGTTTAGAATTAATCTAATTCAGTTGGTCTGAGGGAAAATTCTGTCTCCAACTACTTCTAATAAACGGGAGAGACTATAATACAGACGATATAGGCTTCGTCGCCCATAACTTATATTACAGAATATTAATATTCATTAAGATATAGAAGTTTCTTTGAAAGACGAGAAAAAAAAGTTGTTATAGTGTGTGCTGAATTGATCTATAAAAATGTGAGTCCGTATAAACGTTGACAGTCTAATATCAACTAGGATAATGACATTGAGCCTAAAGAGAAAATGGAGAGAATTATCCAGTAGACACAATAGTTTTCAAAAGACGGTTAATATACATGTGTTTTACAGTAATTGCGTGGGGTTAAAGACAGTTGGAAACTAGAGAATTGGATTTTTTGGTGAACAGACGGAAGAAAAGAGTGCATCGTTGAAGTACCATTAAAATTATCGAAAATTCACCATCTTGGTTACGGATACTGTCCAAAATTTCGTGCATGCCCGTTCTCAAAGCTTCATTCTCTTCGATGACCAATTGCACATTCTGTTGCAACGACGAAGTGCTCGTTTTATGATACGGTGATTTTTGATCGGATTCTGGCAGTTTAGTCGAATGTAAAAATTCTACGCTACCGTTTCCGGTACTGGCAGATATATCGAAATCTTTAGAAGATTTACTTAATTTGTATTTCAACACCCTCAACTAGAAAATATAAGTTTCGAATGAAAAATATGTATTTTGGTTGAATAACGAAAACTGATCACTAACGCCCTATCCTTACGTCGGATTTCATTTCTAAATTTTCATCGACGAGCATTTTATTCTGTTGCATAAGTTCCTCCAGTTTTTTAGCCTCCCGCTTTCGCTTTTGTAAAATATTCTGTATCGATACTGACTCGTCCTCTGGAATCCCCAGCTTTTCTCTAAAGTTTGTACCATTAATGTCTTTTTCTTTAAATAAATTGTAAAGACAGAGATGAACGGTGTATAATTACCTAAGAGTTAGAATCTCCATTTCTTGATACGAATTCAACATTTCTAATTTGTTAACCACATTTATTAAATCCCTTATATGCTCGTTCTTATCCTTCAGATCATTTTTTAATTCTTTTATTTCATTTAAAGCATCAGTCAACCCTTCGTTTTCATCCTCATATTTTCTTAATGTTCCTAATACCTCGCATAACTAAATAATAATGTTAATAAGTGTCTCAGTCATAATAATTAAGTGCTAAATATATAAAAAACTGACTTTGCTACTCCTCAAATTAGCATCTTCTTCTGCTTCTGTCAATTTCATTTGTAGTGTGGATATTTGTTCATTTGCATTGTGCAGCTTTTTTAACAACTCTTTGTGCTCCTTCCTTTTTCCGTTCTTACCAACCCTATATAAGATGTTAATAAAATACCTGCGCTCGAACCAACTACTAAAATTTTTATCGTGAATAGTAAAGTACATACTTTTGTGCATCTGTTTTTAATTTTTCTATCAATGTGGCACTTTCATTAATTTCAATCACGGCCTCTGAAAGCTTTGTTTTCAATTCAGTTATAATTTTATCACGACAATCTATTTCCTCATTCAAGTGAACAATTTCAGACTTATTTTGCTCCTGAACAGAGACCACGGACTGTATAACTGACTGTGATAAATTCTCTTGTAAACGTTGGATTTCCGCATCTTTCTCATCCAATATAGCCTAATCAATTGTTAATGAAAATATAAGGAACTGCAAATCTTCCATTGTATATTCATTGATAAAAACTACATTCTGTACCTTCCATTCATTAATTCTACTATCAATTGCTGCACCAAATTCATCTATCACTTTATCCCTATCTATTTGCTGAGTGGTCACTTCCTCAATTTGAGCAACTAATGCTTTATTTTCACGTTCTAAGTATGATATTTTTTCTAAAAGAAAAGATTGCTTCATTTTCACTGAAAATATGTTTCTCTTACATTTAAACAGACCAATGTTTAACAACCTTTATATTCTACAATTTTAACTTGTGCAGAAGCTAGTTCTTCTGTCATCTCATTCATATTTTGTGTGGCATCTTCCATTTCTTGTGTTAGTGTTGTCAATTGCTCTTTCAGGATTACATTATCCTTTTCTAAGCTCTGAAGAAGTATGCACACAAAGTATATTAAATTGTTTTAATGGTGTTTTCCTTCTTCCCTAAACTTACCTCTAATTCTGACATTAAAATCTTTATTTTTTTAATTTTTCCTTGTAATTCATCATTGTAAGCAGTCTCTTCAGATTCATCCAAATGCTTAAAACGATTATATAAATACTTTTATATAAAATATTACAAAAAATATATTTATTAAATAATTAATAGGATATCTTACTTCAGATAAACCATTGTTTTCTTCTTTTATAATAGATGTATCCGATTCTACAGGAAAAAACATGATTGAGTTTTTGATGAATTAAATTAAGAAAATAATTTAATGCTCAATAAAAAGATATAATTAAGCATTAGCTTCTATTTCAATACACTACAGAAATTACCTTTCTTTTTACGCTTAGCCGGTTCAGGTTTCATAGACGAAATAGACTTTTTTAATTCACCACATTCTAAAAGTAATGATTCTACCTATCAAGAAAATGCATATTAAAAGGTCAGACATTCTTTCATCGACGGATACTCTGATGAATTTTAAACAATACACCATTACAACGAAAAAGGAAATATTCTATGAAAAAAGCATGAAGAATTCATAGTTCCTTTTATAAAAGAACTACTATACAAAATAACAAAACAGTCTGTGCATAACAAAAATATGGAATATTTCTTTTTACTTGATTGTCTTTGTATTGCAGAATTTCTTGAGAGAGTTTCATTAGAGTTCGTAGGTTATGGATATCACTGATCTCATCAACGTCGCAACTGATCATAGCAGGATAAAGATCCTCCATGTCATCATCGGTTAACGACGATGGATCCGCAGCTAATATTCGTTCCCAATTTGTTCGACCCATTTTTCTACCTTATTCTACCAATTGCCACTAATACAAACCCACTACTTTTAACCTAATGACTTGTTTGACGTTTACAAAGGACGCTTTCTCCTCGTTGCCATGGTAACTTTGTTTGTGAGCCAATGCGCTGTCATCTAACGACTACTCTGAGAAGCCAAATTCCACGAAGCAATTTTTTCAGAATCAATATCACAGACGAGATATAGACACAGACGAGATATAAGAATAGACCTACATACAATGTAATTTTCTGTCTCATCCTTCGAAGGCATCAGAAGCCCCCTTACCATTTTATTGTCAATACCCGATGTTACCGATAAAGCATGAATTCTGAGTATTATTAGCACAAATGAAGTGTTATATATTCCATTCATATTGCGTGTATGACATTTATTTATGATACAACATTTATTTTTTACATATGACATTTGATTAATGTTACTTTTTACATATTCTTGTTTTATTCGTTTTTATATCTTGCCTTAAATTTGTGTATTTGTAACAGATAAATTCAGAATAGATGTAGTTTCATAAATAGTTTATCAAATCTATCTTTTGGCCGGCGGCTCACAATTTCCCTTGCGGGAATGCCTTACCGTAATGAGCCACTACAGTGATATTTCGTTATATGTTCCATAATGTCAATAATATTGATTTCCCCGTAACATCCATAATTATTACAAATGTCTATTCTTGTAAACCTCGTCTGTGCCTCTATCAGATAAATCGTTACTGTAGTTGCAGAAAAGAAGAAGTAAAATTACGTAATGTTAAAGATATTCAAAAACACTATCTACTATAAAAAGAGCAAAGAGAACGCGTATGATGAAAAATGAAAATAAAATTGATATTACTCAATTTGCAAATAACCAGCGAATGATTCATGCTGTTTGGCTCATAAGCTACGTAGCTGTGAGCGGTGTGAATTATGGGCGCAGTCTGTGCAACTGATATACAAATCTTTATTGTACACTGAATCGCCATATCGCGAGCTGTTTACGAAATTCGGAGCTGGGTCGAGCACGAGGGCTCGCGAGTTCTAAAATACCACATTGTATGTAAATAACAGTCAAGAGATAAGGCCAGGCATTATCGTCGCGGTCTTGCGAGCGACACTTGTCCACGATGATACTCAGTAAATTGTGCACGCGGTTAGCGAACACTCGTGCGGTTTCGGTTTTGAATTCGGTGAACGGATACGCGTCACGAAAAAATGCACGGTTCATACACTTCACGTATTATACAGACGAGAACACGAATACTGCAGGTAAATAAAATTTGTTAAATTGCAATATCTCGTGGTTATATGAAACTATATCGGAAGAAATTTTTATTGAGTAAAAACTAATTCTATCATCATTTACAAGAATCAGTGTATAATTATGCCATAGTAATGAAGGGAATTATATGTGTTAAATTAAAAAAAAAAGTTGGGAGTAAGTCTATTAATTGTATGAAACGCGACACCAATAAGCCGCGAATGTGAGACATTGATAATTGGATATTTGTAACGCGTTTTGTTTTAGGTGAAACGAAAAAAATGAATATGTATCAAGCTATAAATGATGGACTTCGAATCACGTTAGACAAAGACCCCGATGCAGGTAGTATTACTTTTCTTTAATAAACAAGAGACGAAATTTACTGACTAGAAATATTACGGCGAATTGCAAAATTTGCAAAACTTCCGACGACAACGTCAAACTTATTTTTATCTTATCTTCGAAAAATGCTAGTGTAGTAAACACATTCATCAACTACACTTACATAAAGTATAATTTGCAATAAATAAGTCATAACTCACGCAATTTACAAGCAACAAAATCTATTTTTCTTCTTAGAACAAATATACCTCATGTTGTTTCAGAAATTTAAATTATTCTCTCAATGAACTAATAAAAACAATAGTAATACCGTTTTACTACATTTATGAAATGCAATTAAAAAACAGAGACAGGAGAGTAAGACGAACGACACAAAATTATAAGATAGTATTCGACTAATTTTTATCCATGATCAAGTGATATTTGGCGAAGACGTGGGATTTGGAGGTGTCTTTCGGTGTACCGTCGACCTTCAAAAGAAGTTTGGGAAGGATCGTGTGTTCAATACACCTCTTTGCGAACAAGGAATCGCTGGCTTTGGAATTGGTTTAGCCACTGCTGGCGTAACAGCGATTGCAGAAATTCAATTCGCTGATTATATATTCCCTGCATTTGATCAGGTACTGTTCGAATCTTTACTTATCGCAATATAGTGGTAAAAAAAAGTATTACCACACAGTAGTTCAAAATAATTTGATCGTGGCTACATATATCTATAAGAGAAAAATTTGTGAAAGAATTTTCGTATACTAATTACTGATGTTTTGCCATCAGCTGGTTAACGAGGCCGCCAAGATGAGGTATCGAAGTGGCGGGGAATTCGAATGTGGTAAATTAACCGTTCGTGCCCCTTGTGGAGCTGTTGGTCATGGCGGGCTTTACCATTCGCAAAGTCCAGAAGCATATTTCGCACACACGCCAGGTTTGAAGGTGTGTAATGACGATATCAGTAATAAACCTTCCATACTTTTCAATTCTCATTGTATGTAATGTAGAGCTTACGTCGTTACCGTTAAACTAGCTGACAACGTGGATTGTACACCATAAATTCTGCCTTCACGATCATATATGTTTATTCGTCATATATGAATCACAAAAGTGGCAACAGAATGTCGTAACATTGCAAATGTGGACTCGAGATCTGATATAACCTCTTTTTACATCAGATAACAGTTATAATTTGACTGTTACATTGGGTATTTAGTTATAAGAAGCTTTGGAACTTCGAACGAACTTTTTATTATTAGGTTATACAGTATACATTCTAATGGCATGCGACCGTTAGCATGAAGTCGGATATGAAAATTGCAAATTAAGTTCTTACCTTTTGATGATTTATGGTACTGGCTGCTTCTGGCAAAAGAAGACATTCGTTGTGACACACAAATACACTGACTCTAATAAAAATCACATTCAAATCACGAAAACCGCGGATCTCTATCGAACAACCGTTGCTTGCAAAGAAAACCGCGCGCTCCACTGAGAAGTATCTTTCCGGAAGACGCTGATCAGTTGAATTTCCAAGTCAAATGAGAAACGAAAGATCTGAAATTTTCACGAAACATTTTAATTTTCCGTTTAAAGTTTTTATAAAATGACAACCAAAATTTCTTGTTTTATTTAATATAATTTTTTAAGTCACCGTATCGAGTGTTTAAGGAATATCAATGAAAATTCTTCTTGTGAATAGAGTGTACTACCGGAAGTTGGATTTGTCTCAATATTTGAATTGGTAATTAAGATAACTAAAGACTATAGAGAAATGGATTAAAAACAAACAAACGTATAAAGAACATAAATAACTTTAAATAAAGTTTCATGTCGTAAATGTCAGATGATAATAATATTCATTACCACACTAATAACCTGATATAGTTTATTAAAGTGTGTTTACATGAAGCAAAAACGACGGACAGACTACTCCAATTGCCATTAAATATTTTTTCCAATAATATTACTTTAATATATAAAAAAATCCTGTATATTATGCACTACTAACGTATCATTTAATAACAGTTGTTACTTCTTACGATTCTTACTTACAAAGTACCTTATTCAATTTTTTAATGAAAGAACTCCTAATGACATGGTACCGCCATCTGGCATTATGAAATTTAAACGGCAACTAACTTGGGTGTTTCACCGCAGATGGCGCCACAGACCCTTTTAATTACTTTTCACATATACAAAAAACATAAATAGCAATTAAAAATGCCATAGCCATCAATTGTTAATGCATATTATCAATTCAGAAGAAACAGTTTTCCTTATGTGTACATACATGTAACATATCAACCGGAAAATAGTTGGCGCCGAATGTTAACGTATTTTAACGACTTATATCTTAAAAAATTGCTCCCAATTTGCTCCTTCCGAATCTGAAATTGCTCCCATCGCACCGTTTATATTTAATGAGATATTCGCAAATAACGCAAAAATTTGTTATCTGCAAAATAGATAGGAAATGGTCGTTTTACAAACAGATCATGGTACCAAAAAATTGCTCCTGATCTGTTTTATAATATTCAATGGTCAGATGTCTTGTCTTAATAACAATGAAACAAATTTTTGCTTTATTTGCAAATATCTTATTAAATTTAAACGGTGCGATGGGAGCAATTTCAGATTCAGAAAGAGCAAATCGGAAGCAATTTTTTGAGATATAAATCGTTAAGATACGTTAACATTCGGCGCCAACTATTTTCCAGTGGCGCCAGAGACCACGTGTGGTGAGAGCGTGGGGTCACAGAACCCCCACAGGTGTCGCCAGAGACCCATGTGGTGAGGGCGTGGGTCATAGAGCCCCCGGTGGAGGCGCCTGAGACCCGTGTGGTGAGGTCGTGGGGTCACAGAACCCCCCATAGATGGCGCCATAGACCCCGTGTGGTGAGGTCGTGGGGTCATAGAACCCCCGGTGGAGGCGCCAAATACCCCGTGTGGTGAGAGCTTGGGGTCATATAACCCCCGGAGGAGGCGCCAAAGATCCCGTGTCTGTGAGATGTACCTTCACGAGCAAAGTTATTGAGATATCTGACTATTGATTATTATAAAACAGATCAGGAACAATTTTTTGGTACCATAATATTTGTGTAAAAAGGTCATTTACTACCTATTTTGTTAACAACAAATTGTTACTTTTTCTTTTGCGAATATCTCATTAACTATTAACGGTGCTGGGGGAGCAATTTTAGATTCGGAAGGAGCAAATTGGGAGGAATTATTTGAGATATAAATCGTTAAGATACGTCAACATTCGGCGCCAACTGTTTCCGGTAACACATCACCCAAAACGATGACCCTTTATCCTACGATATTCGTAGTACACTTCTTACATTCTGCGACAGATGTGCATACTATCACGTTTCGAAGATAATGCTATCTGCAGAGACGTCTTTGAAGTCGAATTGGTCCTATGGTTAGACATTTCAGCCAATCCATTCATTTTCGATTCTGCAATTTCTATTCGTTTTCAAATTTATATTCCCTCTCCACCGTTCACGTACGTGTCTCATAAATTTGCATAATTGCATACTACTTACCTGTCCACTTCTAAATAAGATTACTTGATGTGTTCATTGAACAGGAAAGGTGCAAAAAAAAAAAAACTTCGTGAGCAATAGTGAGCGAATTTCAATGCCCAAGGATACAATCCCGCAACGCGACATAACGTGTTCGTTATAGACGTTCGCTCTCAACTTTCTGGAAGAGATTTCATGAATATTGTACGACACATGCACTCTCTATATGTATGAGGAAAGTTTTCCCCCGAACACAGAGAGAAGGCGCCGTTTCGCCGGGCAGCATACATCCCGATTACAGGAACACCGACGCGCAACATCGCGTCGACGTTTCCGGAAGCTGGAAGATCGTGCCCGGTCCCCGTCAATAGAATCCCACCTGGCACGAAAACAAAGATAGAACCTAACAAAACGTAGCTACACGTTTATTCATCAACCATGCCAAGAACAACGAACGCTCCCGACCATTTTCACGAAACTTAGAGTTTCATTCGTTAAAGTGAACACTCCCTCATATTTCTCAGCCACCCCATTTGTCTTTCCTCATTCTCGCCATATTTCTGGATCCAAGAGAGATGATAAGGAAAGAATAAAATTTTACATAGTCATTTTTTACGGATTCCCGTATATTTGTCGTTTGAACCTGATGTTCGAAAACTTTCGTTGCTTACTGTACTCATTCTAATCATCCATTACGTACACATCTTCAATTGGCTTTAGTATGATACGAAGATAAGGGATATTCAAATATTTTTGCAACCAATAACGCAGTGCTACGGTCTCGTCAAGTTTGCAGCTAATATATAGTCGATGATATTGAACCTTCATAATTCTGACAATTACAGGAACCAATTTAAACCAATATAACTAATTTTAAATTGGTCTGATGACACCTGTAGGCCGTAGGTATTAAACATGGTTTGGGAAAGTTTCACAGTATTAAGAAAAGAACACTGTAACAATGGTACATTTTTTTTTTTTTACAAAAGTCAATATTAAGAATATTCTGCTATCTTCTGATGTACTTTCCCGAATGGAAAATGTAGTACGAACGTGTTCATCTTCAATATAGTAAATATAAAAATACTTGCATTATAATTCAATTTTCACAGAATTCGAGGGGCGAATTTTATTCGTTTGTCCACTAAATGACTAAAATGAAGGCCCGTTTCACAGTAACGGTAGGGATATTTTGATGAATGTTTCCAAGGCAAGCAGTGTTCCCGATGGTCACATCGTCTCCTCGACTCGGAACCTTCGAATTTTTGTACGTGGTTGCCTGCAGGGTGACCTGTGTCAGCTTAAACCGGATGTTGGAGGCCTGAAAAATGATTTTCCACTATCCCGTCATTAAGAAACAACCAGCTTAAAAGCGTTCCATTGTAACACGTCTATATTTCATTCGGTGACTATTAAACATCTTATACATAGGGTGCCCCTAAAATTTCCGACACTAACTTTAATACATTCGCTAAACAGAGAAACCTTAAATAATACAAATCCTTTTTATTACACAGCGCGATTAAATGCCCTTTCAAATGATATATAGGACATTAAACGTGATAAAACGACTTAAAATGATATATTGAATAACCCGGAGGTCACGAATAAATGGCGTCGGGTTCATTAACGGTTACCCCAGCATGACGTGTGATGTCAAAATTAATTAAAACCCCTTGCATCAAATAAACGTCCCTACATAAATCCGTAACCCACCGGATAATTACTGTTAACTTACCCGACACGAGGATAATAAATAATTATTAAGAAACAAACAACGTTAAAAATAATTTCTGTCCTGCCCAAATATGGCCCGTGTGCCGTTTGACTGCTGGAACATAAAGTAATACCGTATTTCTTGGAAACCAGTAGCTTCTTCTTAAAACAATATCTGTGTTTGAATTTTCATTCTCCCTCCCAAGTTCGACCCTCTTCGAATCGAATCATTCAGCATCGAAGGCACATACTTACTTTCTTCCCGAGCGATCGTAACTCGAACGCGAAAGGCCCAACGGCGACCGCAGCCGATTGCGTCACCCGCGAAGATGCCATTTCCCTTACGCATTAACCGTAACTCCGATCGCTCTTATGACACGGAACACTTTCGAAAACCGCGAAAGGTCGCCGGATCCACGGGCGCAGCGGCGCAGATAACAAGCGTAATGAAATGTAACCGAGGCGACCTTTTTTTTTTTTGTTTCTTTTACTTTTTTTTTTCCAGATCGTTATGCCCCGCGGAGCGAAACAGGCGAAAGGTCTTTTGTTGGGCTGCATAGAGGAGCCGGATCCCTGCATCATGTTCGAGCCGAAAATATTGTACCGCACCGCGATCGACGAGGTGCCGACAGCCCATTACACGATAGAGATCGGCAAGGCTGAGGTTGTGAGAGAAGGTGGGCAGGCTCGCGGAAGATAAGGAACCTGGGACAAGTTTTCACCTCGTGAACGCGTAAAGTACACCACCAACGGTTACGAATAGATCGGCTGTATTATATAAATTTCTACCCGATAATTTTTCACGAATCCTCGCGAACGATGTGTGAACAATTTCGGGTCGTAAACGGTTTAAGATTGAAAGACTACAATTGAGGACTGTCTTGACGAGTTAGAATTTTGACTAGGGACTTCTATCGAAACGTAAAATACTGGTATTATACCGGTATTTTTGGTTGTAACTTCACCCTATGTAACCCTATATAAGCCCTACCCTTATAGGAACCGAAAAAATATCGGTATTTATTTCGGTTTTCGGTGATATATCGGTTTCGGTATAGCTTTGATGGCATAGCATCGGTATCAAAATCATACCGGTTTATCTCTTTAGGGTTAGGTGGGTTAAAAACTGTCCCAGCTTTTGCTTAGCTTTTTATGCATGGTGGGATATATTTTACCCCACCTCGAAAAGTTGAAGTTACTTATAGTCATACAGTTTAATACTTTATTTAAAGTCCATTTTTTCATATTAAAAAAAATTCTGTGCAACTAGGGTTTTTATTTTCTTTAAAATCGTGTGCCTCAAAGAGTTAAGTCCCTGATTTCGACACTTTGAGCCTTCAAACTTAAAAAGGGAATACAAAACAGTTTAGTCTAATTGTAAGAAGATATACGTTATATTACCTTGCTTACTGTCCCATGTTAAATCAAGTGCAGTAGTCCCCGCTTAGTCGACGCACTCCTTTCCCCGCTTAATTGACGGAGTTATCCATGAACAATTCCTGAAACAGCTTCCACAATACTAGAGTCCAGATTCTCTGTGTTACGCATCGTAAAACAGCTGTTCAAACCTTTCCCTCTGTTTCACTGACACCCTAATATTTCTTACACTCCACTAAGCGGGGAATACAGTAGTTCAGCTTACGAAGTTATAACATATTATTAATTTCCTTGGTGGGGTTCCCTATGTTAAGCCAAGCATATAGAATTCCGCAAACAGGTCCCCTTTTATTACAATTCTCGATTGACCACGAAGCTATTGTGGAACATTCACCTCCCTCGATAACTGTCGCAACTCGGATTTGAGCCTGCGTTGATCAAGCGGGGACTACTATAGTTTAGCTTTCGAACTTATCACATATTATTAATTTCCTTGGTGGGGTTCCCTATGTTAAGCCAAGCATATAGAATTCCGCAAACAGGTCCCCTTTTATTACAATTCTCGATTGACCACGAAGCTATTGTGGAACATTCACCTCCCTCGATAACTGTCGCAACTCGGATTTGAGCCTGCGTTGATCAAGCGGGGACTACTATAGCTCAGCTTTCGAACTTATCACATATTATTAATTTCCTTGGTCGATTTCTTTATGTTAAGCCAAGCATCTAGAATTCCGCAAACAGGTCCCCTTTTACTGCAACTGTCGGTTGACGATGAAGCTGTTACAGCAGGGTAGCCCTTCAATTAGCAGGTTGTCCCCTCGATAATTCGAACGTGTCCGGATCGCCTCGCGATCGATAATGGTGGCACGTACTTATCCAACAGAAGAACGAGCTGTCATACGAGAATATAATATTTATTGGTTGTAATCGTCCCTTCATTATCCTATCGGTTGAGGCTGTGCACGCGATGACCGGTTCTTTGAAACAGGATAACCAAGGCGGGGCGACAAGGGGGGGGGGTGGGGGTTCAGTCCCGGCCGTGATCGCGATACCGTCGTGCGTTTTGTAAAGTGAAACGAGTGTGGCCGTTTGTATAATATACACGTGTATGCAATTTCACGTAGGTGATGCGGTGACACTTGTGGGCTGGGGCACTCAGGTGCACGTACTGATGGAGGCGGCCGATCTCGTCCAGGAGAAGCTCGGCGTGTCCTGCGAGGTGATAGACCTCGTTTCTATCCTACCTTGGGACGCGGAACTCGTTTGCAAGGTAATTTCGTCATTAATAATTTGCTCCGTTTTCATGCGTTAATGCAACCGGATCGTTTGCATGGATTACGATTTTATAGCGCGAGTGTTACGCTCGCCACGCGTGTTACGTGGGGGCCCCTGTCGTGTGTGTCCTTCGCGGAACGAAGAGGGAGAGCGGCGAGTATACTCGCTGCATTTCACTTGGAGCATTAATTCGGTGAGAGAGAGAGAAAGAGAGAAATCTTGTTCTCTGTTTCGTTTTTTGTGGGTTGTCCCGACCTGGAGTATTTAGGCTGCGTGTGTTCGTGCTGTTATTTAATATCGGACTTATTACGCAACGTTAACGTATGCGTATGAAATTATTATTCATATATTGCAATACATGGACGAATACTGTATATATGTGAATATTTCAATAAATAGCGAGGTGCAATATGTATTCTGTGATAAGGCCTACATAATATTCTGTTTTTTTAATAGAGATTTGGAAGATTTTGGTTTAAGGTGATACGTATGAAACAGGCGAAAGCTCTTTTGAATATGTTATTGGTGTACCAATAAGTAATCCATCATGTGTTTAAATTTCAAGGTGATAGTTTTTTACCGTAAAAAAATATCTTTACCATACCACGAGTGAAAATGGTGTAGACTGTTGAAAGACCATTATGAATATAAGCGAAGCACTATAGAGTCCCATAAAGATTTGTACTAATTCCATGAAGCAATAGTGGATCACTTATTGATGCATTTATTCTTAACGGTATTTGAAATATGAATATTTCCTGGAAAAATTTAATAGATTGATAGTCGTAAACATGCGCCTTCCATAGAACCAGAAATCGATCATAATTATTTAAACATGTTAAATGTATCGTTGCGTCGACAATTACTGACGTCTGCACTGACGTAATGCTGTCAGCTAAAACTGTCTACATTTAAAAAACAAATGATTTCATGATGGATATTTATTCCAATTTACTAATTCTAAGATAAGGAATATACTTTTTTTTCTGACAGCAGATTAGAATCACCCTGTACAACCATGTTGAGTTTCCAAAAAAAAAGAATTCTCTACACGAAAAATTCTGTCGGATATAGATCATAACGTGTTATGATTATGTTCCGTTGATTAGCATCAATAGGTAAGTCAGGCACCACAAGAAAGATATTTATGAAAACAATTTGTCGGTGTCGTAACGTCCAGGTAACGTTTCTTTTTTCTTTTCAGCCCCGAGGTCGATCAGTCGTTATAGGTCAGTAACTCTCGTAGTGTATCAATTATGGCAGAAATGTTTATGTCCGTGTAACAACTCTGTTCCGTCCTCCTCAAAGGTATACCGTTCCGTGCCGCACAAAAGAATAATAGAATTGCGTGTTTTTATTACCGGGCGCGCATGAACGATGGACAATATAATATCGGTGCATAAACCACAGTGACGAAATAATAGGCGCGGAGTACATACCTACGTATCGCCAGGAAAAATACAAAAACTCCGTCCGTTAATATAACTCCATTTTTTTTTTTTTTCTACGAACATCTAATCGTGCACACAATTTTCTTCTTGCGCGGCGATTCACAAAACTCCGTGGAAACTTTCGAAATTCGTCGGAATGAAAACAATTTATTTACTACGGCCGGGAGAGAGGTTGCAAAATAATTATTATGAAACGTAGAGAGATAACCGGGCGAGTATTTTTATTAGCGAAATCGGTTGTGGATCGCTTGGATAATCCGTTTCGATCCTCGTTTCATTATACTTCCCTGTCGTCGACTTAAACGATCGTTAGGCATCTATCTTTCTCGCGGAGAAACGTTTAATTTAGGGGCTGTGTATTTTTTCAACGATTCTTTTTTTTCTTCACCCGTCATTACACTCGTTGAACTATCTAAATGCCCGGTTGACCAGTGTCGTTCCCCTCCTTTTCTCCTCTTAGTCGACACACGGAAAAAGCAAATGAAACCGACATTCACTCGTCCGAATTACGATACCCGTGGACACTAATATCTCGCTGATTTATGCTAATCGATCTTTAGCCGCTTAATGATATGCCGATCGTACCCGGTATGCGCTCTCGCGGCTTGCTAGCCGTAACATTATACCGTGGCGTACGCGCAGGCGAGCCGTGAATGCAAGAGCGAGGCGGCGGAACGTAATTGCAAACCCGTTTCGCGTAATTTCGATACGTTCACGGGGATCCTCCGTGATGATGATGACGATGACGATGATGGTATGCCCGTCGAGTGGTCGCCGTTCACGCGACAAAATCTGCGCCTTCTCGAGTGGAAAATGGCCGACTATGACTTTTTCCATTGGGGTTTGTCTTGAAAGCTGATCGATTACGAAATAATCTTGATCTTGAAAAACGATCGCCGTGGAAAAACGGTCGATCAGTCGTGGATCGCTAGGATTTCGAGGTCACGAGCATTGAAATGAAATATAAAGCGATCTATTTAGACGAGATTTTTATATTTATTTTAATTTAAACAATTTTTTTCTTCGTTCGGATTGTGTAGTTATGTTTGTTGGAACAGAATACGGAAAAACAATTGGGATAGATTAATGATAATAAATGGGGAGTTTTTCAGAATTTTCTGGGTCATTTTGTGATTTTTTGAAAGGGGTTCTTTTATTTGCGTTCTACGAATGGGACTCGAAAGAATGGTAATGGATTCAATAGATTTTTTTTGCGTAAAGTGGCTCAGTGAAAGTATATCTCAGTGAGAATGTTCTGTATTCATAGTGTCAACATAGATACATTAATCCCTTGGCATTATTCAGGTCAACGAGTTCGTTTCTGGCAGTTTCTTCTGTTATAAAAATTTAAAGATAAATTCTACATAGAAATAATTTATTCGTGTTAATACATAGATATGAAGCAATACATTTCCTTAACTCAAGGCACTTCGTGCGCACCTGGAAAATAATCTTGAATTAAAAACCTCGAATACTAAAATATGTTGTCTGGTACGCTATCTGCTTACATTATTCCGTGAATAATATTACGTCATTGTATATAAAATAGCGGATTATTCAGTGTCTCCTAGTATCTTTAATTTTCAGGAAATAATTTCACCCCCCTGGCTGTTTGCATTCATTCTAAACAACCTCCAAACAGTTTCAGTACTGATACAAAAATGCTGCAGTGTAAAACCTAAATGGAGAATAAGATCTAATATATTCGTGAGTGTTCTGAAAAAAAATCCACCATATTCTATGACAGGATTGAGTATGGGTAATTAAAAGACCGCGGGTCTTTCATGCAATTATCAATCTTTAACGCCTTATTGGCAGAAACTAAAAACAAACAGAAATTTGTTCACTGTATCAAAGGTCGTATTGGATTCCACGTGGAATGCAAAATCATACTCAAAATTTATTCAACCATTTAATATACTGAATTTTAAACACTATAAATGCATACAATCCGCGGTCTAGCGATCATAAACATTTTAACGTTAGTATACACTGTCGATGGTTTGAAATGTATTAGGCACATTGGATAAAGAAGAAAATTCTGAATTATATTTACAAAGAACGAAGTTTGAAAAATGACGCGAGGGACATCACGCGGAAAGGGATGAAGAAGAGGGGTGAACCACGGCGATGATTACTGAAAGTGGCGGGGAAGGTCAGCTTGAAATCTGAAATGTCACGGAAACCTGTACAGGCTTGCGTACAGTCATGCGTGTTATCGAGTTACCGTTCCTAATTATTTACAACGGGACATACACGCAGGTGCGCCTACGTGTCTTAATTACAGAGCACCGGTCCTCCCCTCCCCCCGCCCCTACTCACGTTTCTAACGTCGATCGTCGCCCGTGGAATCGACGCTCGCCAACAAAACGATTCGTTCGGCTGTGTTATATTAATCCATGGCTTAGCGTCGTGTTGCGTGTAAATTATTATTATGCCAGCTCGTATGGGACGGCGCATAAATCATTCACGAATTGATCCGTGCCCGCCGGTACGTTCGTTCAACGAATTACCCCGTGCCGTGACACGTGTTAGGGAACATCAAACGCGGCTACGTGGACGGCTAAGCGAATGGTTTTTGTTGCATTTATAAATTCCAAGAACCTCGAACTACAACAAAACGACCGTATTTTCGTTCACGTGACTCTAATAATAATATGTTATTTGTTACGTAAAACCGAATCATATTTAAATTAATTCATTAAGGACCAATGTCGCGTTAATACATTTCATTTGCAACTCTTTTTTTTTTTCCAATTAATTTACATTATTGAATTCTGTGGGTTTTTTTTAATATTCTGATTGTGAAAGGGAATACCAGGAATTTGCATGATGATTATTTCGGCAGTATTTCTTCGTCCACGTAGGTGTGTGATTTTGTAAAGTATACAAAATGTGATGTGTAAAATTCGTATTACTTCACTGCTTGATCCTTAATGAGTTAAGGAGAATTATTTCTAAATAGGATTTGTCGATTTTTTAACAAGGCATCTTTGTAATGGATATAGCAGTAATTCTCGTATTTCTCGATAGTCCATGAAAAAAAAATAACGTTCGTGTTGAAATATTTTCCCTACGAATAAGAAATAAAAGATTTACATACGAGAATGCAAAATTTTACATTAGCTTTCATTAAAAAAACAGAAGAAATGTAAAAATAGCAGGGATTAATTATTCTTCATCAAGTACCTCGTCCTTATATACATATATATTCTTTTAACGTTTGTGATAGTGCGAAAAATAATGATATGTCTCACTTTTAATAATCATTTAGGAAATAATTGCAAAATCCACTTAGTTCTGATATCGTATTATTCTTATTAGCCAGTATAAAACGTTTCTTTACTTTCAGTCCTCCGGATCATCGTTATTCTGATTACAGACACTTCGAGATTGATATTTTCAGGGTACATTTACTCGACTTCTCGTTCTGTTATGATGCAATTTATAAGACGAACTGGAAGTCTCCCGGTAAGAGCTCCATTATGCAAACGCTTTAATGTAACGCATAATGTTGCAGTCAGCGAAGAAAACTGGACGAGTTGTGATCGCACACGAAGCACCGCTAACAAACGGATTCGGAGCGGAAATAGCATCGACCGTTCAGGTAAGTGTCGCTTTCATGGCAGACATCGCGAATTTTGAATCTAAAACACAAAGGTCAGCGTTACATTTAAATGTGAAGGTGTTCCTTTCTTCGGTCTTGAATTATATATTTAAATTTTCGATTTCATTCATTCCAATCGGGAGAATCTTCAACGATCATGCGTGCACCTATGCTTCCTTTGCCAATAATTACTAACAGACATGTTTTTACGTTGTTTCAAGTGAATTATTATTTAGGTGTGTCAACCGAGAAGAATTAATTATCTTCTCGAATGACTATATTTCTCTCTTAAGTTATTCACCTCTCAAATATCATCTCTTTGAAAATGATAATTTTATTCGAGTATCCTTGCACTCCGCCTGAAGTGCCATAAACCAAACAAACGAAGCATCGATGACCAAGTCCTTCAAAAAACGTTCGAATAAATTCACTTCCCTCAAAACTATTTACCGCTACGTGTAACTTATTTCCGTATAAAAAACGAAAATGTTCGAAATACCGCGGTAATTATGTCGTGTTAGACGGAATAACTTAACGTAATTGAAGCATGCATCGGAATAATTCAGTCCAGCTATCGACGTGTTGGTATGCCTAACGGCCGAACGAGATTTTAACTATCCCTCCAGTTACGAAATTATTTACACGTATCGAGACCGCGCGCGCCAGTTTTCGCTGCCCAAAATGCATTAGATGCATGTCGAATGCATCGTTGGAATGTGGCAGGATATCATTACCCGCGTTTTCCGTTACGTCACTGTCGAGCATTTCGTGACGGTTCGATACACTTCGGTTCGGTCAGATGTGCAAACCTAGCCTGCCTTGCAAAACCACGAATCTGGGCCTGTTATTGGCCGCCATAATTTACGAGGAAAAAATAACATTAAATCGCGAACGTTTGCAAACGCAGGAGGAATGTTTCTTGCATCTGGAAGCACCTGTGCAAAGGGTGACAGGATGGGACAGTCCCTTCCCTCACGTCTTCGAGCCGTTCTACCTGCCCGATAAGTGGCGATGCTTCGCCGCTGTCAGGAACATACTGAACTACTGAAACCACGAGCCAGGATTATTCTCCTCGCGAGGCACGGTGGGCACTATGAAATATGTCAGAAACCTGTTGCCTGGTTGGACAATGCCCGCGCGAGATGCACACGCCCGAGTGCAGTATCGATTTCTTTCATTCCAGGTGCACCATCGCCAAGTCAACTTCATCGTAGATTATCCCGAAATTTCCGAATCGGAATGAAAGTCACTTTATGTAAAATTGTTGATATTTTTTGTTATTAATTATTCGAGACAGTTGTCTTACGAAGGCGTACATTGTTCGTAGTAATTATTCAAATACTGATATACTAATTCAAGATGGAGGATGGGAGCGGTGATCGAAGGTTTTGGAGTCTGAAAAATTCGGTCAGACACTCTTCCTTTCATTTACGATTTCAATTTGGTCGACGAAAAAGTGCTGAATGCGCCGAATCTGCTGGAATCAAGTTGTACATTACTTTTTCAAGGCAAAATATTCTGCACACAGGTTATGCAAGAAGCCAAAGGTTTCGAACACCACCCTTTCCGCCATCTTGAAAAATGATTATTAGAATGTGTTCCAAAGTTTATATATAATCGTTCTTTAGATAACAGTTTACATTATACTATATTGAACTAATATATAAAACTTATTAAATATACTGTTACAACATTTGTTTCGTCAGCTATGGATTACTAAAAATATCAACCGGACACAACTCGAAGGTCACCAAAACCAGAAGCGGTTTCAATTTTCAGCCTCTCGAACGGTAGATCCTGATCACCAGGATACCGTCGATCTGTCACGATGAATTCTTGTTTAGGCGAACGCACGGTTTCCTTTCCGGGCAAGATGAAAGGTGTCCCGGGCTGCAGCTTTCATTGTTCGCCGTGCCGAGCGGCAGAACCTTCGTCCCTGACCCAGTTCAGCCGTCCCGCCCGGTCGCGTAAATACTTTTCTTGGTCAAATTAATGGCACGAAAGATGATACACATCGCTAGCAGCCGACGGCGACGCGGCAACAAGTAGCTGCCGCCCGGCCCCCGGTCGAATCGATATTCGCAATTAGAACGGACGTGTTTGCTGGTTTTTACTGGATAACTGGGTCAAGTCTGTCTTTAGCAGTAAAATCGAGCGCCGGATCGTGTGGACCATACGCGGGGCAACGTAATATCTCAATCAAGGCTTCAGTCTCAGGTGTGCGCTGGTCGGCCCCGTGTATCCTTGGGGGAAGGCGAGACCGGGCTCGTCGATCGAACACGTATTTTTACGACCACGATCGATGAAAGGGGCCCGTTCGACGATTATCGAACCGACGAGATCCCGTTCACGACAGCCAGGTAATTCATGCGAGAATAACCGACAACACGGATGGTTGATGAACATGACGACGAGGGCACCGAACGGAATAAATGGCGCGATTTTCAAATACGTCAACGGTCGTATGCAATTGGTCGTTCCTGTATCGGTTGCAAATCGATTCGTGAATTCTTGTTACTGTTCCGGTCTGGTATCGGTCTGGTATTATGAATTACAGCACGTTAGAATAGAGAACGATCCGGGAAAAGTCCCGTGAAGGTCGTACGAGCGACCTCCTCCTCGTGGCGTCCAAGATGGCGGCCGAAGGGGGGAAAAGACCGAATAATCGAGGGAGGTTTGCGGCGCGCATGCGCGCTAGCCCGCCGTATTTTGTAATTTGAAAGGGAAACCACATTCTTTCACTGTGTATTATGATACGTGAAAGTTGGCAACGGTGCACACTGGCGAAGCACAAGCCCGGGAGTAACGGAGAGGGTGAGATAGAGTGAGACGAGCACGTGGAGGAGGAGGAAAGAGAGCGGGTTGAAGAGTAAGGGAGAGAGGGAGAGAATGGCGGGCGGTGGAACAGAGAGATAGAGACCAAGAGCCAATCGCCACGAAGGCGTAGACTATATCGAAGGTCGACGAGTTGCCTTTTTATTAGTCGATTTTTGCGGGAATAGAGCAACGGCTCTGTGCACGCTAACATACGGCACCGTTGCGGTCGCAGCCGTCGAAAGTTGATGGATTTCGCGATCGTGTTAATTAAACGTTGACGATGATCCAGCGAGAGCGTTGCTCCTCGAATAGCATTGGAAATCGAATCTGTCTGAATTTTTTGTACTGCTTATGTCATCTCTCTTGTTTAATTAAATAAATGTTTTAAGATAGTGGAAAGTAGAAGGAAATCGAGAAGAAGACAGTGTTTCCTATCGATTCTGACTACCTAATTATTTAGTCGATTTCTGATCGAGGAAAGATGTTTCTTGTCAAACTTACGATGTCTAGCGGGAATAGGAGGAACGTTATTAATAGACGCGAGCTTTTCACTTTTACGTAATTAAAAGTATGGATTCGGAGTTTATACGTATGATCATCTGTAACAGTTTTCAAGCGACAATTTCCACCATTTTTGACTGAGAACTCTCAATTAATCAATCATCGAAATATAGTTGATCAAGTTCTGAGTTGTCTAATCGGGTTGAGCACATTGCTGATCGAAATTCAACTTATCGTGCAGTGCATGATTTTATTATAGTCAGGAAACGACATTTCCAGGAACGATGCAGCACGGATTGTCATGTGTAACGATTGACCGATCGTAAATGTTTCCATCGGCTCGATCGGCCATTGGCATGTTTATGGCTCGTTTGAAACTTACAGCTGCATTTTTATCTTATCGAAAAATAATATTGTTCCGCGAAACGTGGCCGCTCGAGTAAAGTTACGCCGATGTTTTAAGGATGTATTGCTAGATGTACGATAGAGAGCGTGACGAAACTATAACATTTTTTATTATGATGGACTAAATCACGATATAAATTAAAGTTAAGACACAATTTTCGGTCAGTGAATCTAATCGTTTGAATTTCGATTAATTATTATGTTACGATTCAATTGATTAGCATGTGCAACTGTACTAACACTATGGCGTCACGTGAGTACCAACTGTTAGTTACCGATGACGTGACAGTGCCGTTATACAAATGTCAACTACATAGTACTTTTCAGATGTTCAAAGTTATTGAATTTTTTACATATATGGCACAAACCATGTTTTGTTAATTTTTTATAAAAACAGTCAGCCGCTATAGTGAATGTTACTTGCAAAACTAGCCAGGTGTCATAGTGTTAAGTTATACATATAGATCAAGCTATATTGTATTGCAATAATATAATAATATTAAAAAACAAAATAAGGAATGACATTGTGAGATCTACTAGTTTGCATCACTTGTGTTACAAAAAAGTAATCTATACAGATGACCAATGGTGGCTGGAACTTTTATGAACTTTCAAACATAAATGAGAAGCTCAAGCTAAAGGTTAGTCCTTTAAAAGATTACGTGTTTCGGTCTAATAGAACAAAAAAGAATAACGAATTGGTATGCAACCCTCGATAAATGTCTTAATTAAACACGCAATCAGTGTGTACAGCATCGAGTGTTTAGAAGTTTGTGAAACAATGTACCTTCATAATACGTGAATGCAACGATACCAATCGGTCGAACGACTCCTATTGAACGGTCCACACGTGTCCAGAAAATGTACAGCCGAGATAACAGCGAATATATAGCAGAAGAAATAGATCCGCGATGTGTTCCATTCACGCAAAGTCACGACAATTCGCCTAACCGCCATTTTCTACGATACAGACCTGTTGCCTGAATATTCACGAGCAATTCCTCGCGCAATAATGAGCAAAGCTAATAAGCCGAGTTGCAGTGTCGTCTAACATGTTCCCCGTCGATCGTTCAACTAACGCAAAAGGTGTTTGTTATTCAGGTGAAACGTTTTCGAAGGAAAGAAAGTCCGTTTAAGTCGGAAATTAATTTATTTTATCAGTATGGTAATACACGGCGAGCTAATTGAATCGGCGGTGTGAAAACCGTCCAGTAGACAGCTGAGGTCCTTGAGATTCCCGGCAGGATAAAATTCGTTTTGGAATTTGTTAGAGCGAGCGCTGCTGGCGAGGCGAATTTGAATATTGATGCACGTGTAAATGTCAGATTTCCTTTCTTCATGGACGCACCGGGAAAGTCACGTCGAGCAATCTTCACTCGTCACGGATGAACACGTCCTCGATAAACAGAGACAGATAGTTTGGGTCCAATTACATCCTTTTGCAGACAAATGTACGGGTGTTAATTTCTAAGTACACTCATGAGTATATTCTACTTGTCTCGGTGATAAAAAGAAAATAATACCGTGCATGCATCGGTCCGCAAATACTTTATTCTCGAGATGTAGCGTTTCAAGGTTTCCAATTGCAGGAAGTGTTCAAATTAACGACTTTCACATTCTTCAGAATGTCGCTTCATGGATCGTAGATCGTAGAACACGTATGAGTGTCTCTAGATTGTTTCGAATAGTTTGACTACCTTCTACAAAGTTTCCAACTGACTTTCGATACACATGTTGCTTAAGATATCACAAAACAAATCAATCAAGTGGGTTGAGATTCAAACTGTCACATAAGAAACTGTGAAACGATTTTTGCTGACGATATGTCCTTTTTTATTGATTATATGAATAGAATAGAGTCGCGAAGTTCATTCCTTTACTTTTAGAACACCCTGTATGTGTATAATTTTTTTAATTGAACTCGATATTAACGGAAATTGTGGGTCCCAAAAGAGAGTTGGTAAAGCAATTTTTATGAGTAACCGAATAGAAGATTACGATTGAATTTTGTCGATTCCACTTAATCTTGTAAAGTTCTGTTCGCTTTCTAACATTTATCTCAATAATCAACGCGTAACGCAATTTTTTTTCGGCGAATAGAAACTACGAGATCGAATACTAGCTAAGGAATTCAAATAATAGCGATAGTTGATTTCCTATAAAGTAATGATCGTTAGGTTACCACATTTTCTACGAAATGGCAACAATCTAGTCCTTCTTTTTTCTTCAATTCATAACGCAATACATTGCACTAAATTCGGTCGATCGTTATCATTCATTGCAAATAGTTGGGTATATTCCGTCAAAATTACGTAATCGTTACGTGTTTAGTCAGGTGCGTCAAAAGGTGAATAAATCGTTGCGTATGGTCGATGCACTCATACACTTTCAACAGATTGGAATTCAGGCTGAAATAAACATCTACGAAAAGACTCGTATTCGGTTTAATCAAAATTTGCATATATCATATGTTTAATCAAGCTTTCTACTTCTGTCAGTGGCACATGTAGATATCGAAACTGTTGTGTGTGGAACGATTGTTTGTTTCTTGAAGTTCATTTTTCGTATCTGACCCACTTTGTATCTGCAAGAAATTGTTCATAAAATAGCTTTCTTTCTTATAGAATACGAAGGTGATGTAAGTATTTCATAAATCTCTTTATTTGCAATGCATATTACTTCTTAGTATTTCAGAATAATTGTATCTCACCTGATACTTCACAGCCATGTTTTGCCACTTAAACGTGGTCGGATAAAGAGATAAGCTTTCCTCAATTTCACAGTAAATATTCAATATTGAATTTAACTGAACGTTTGCTTAAAGTCTGAAACGGCACCGCAAGAACCTTCGTATTAATGAGATGTAATGTCAATAACCAAACGCTAGAGAATTAATTACGGCGAATTTCAAATGATTAAACGACGTCGGAACTTTCATTTTGTTTTTTGCAATTACACACATCGTACGATCGCAACAAATCACACGATGGACTTTTTTGCATCGATAAGCGCTCCGATAACACGGTCCTCGAATACAATCACTACACGCGATGTTTTGAAACACAAGAAGAGTAACACCTGTATTTATTCAAACAAGTATCTCAAGATATAGATAATCGAGCATAGATAATGAAAAATCAGGAAAATGGTACCGGTAATTGTCAATATTTCAAATATTGTCCACTTCGATTCTACACTCTGAAATAAATGAAAATCAAATAATAAGAAAATATTACTCAATCCTACAAGACACACGGCAAACGAATGACTGTTTGAAAATCTGAAAACCCTACAAAATTAACAGAACATACAGAGATCGTACGACGGTTAAGAGAATCCCCTAATCTCAGGGCGCCAGAGGTGAAACCTTTGATCCTACAACTAAAATGCCAATGGGCGTTCCCAGTACGGGCCATAAATCTTCAACTGGTTAGGACCCTTTCATTAATACCGTTGCAGGGTGGAATCGGCCAATGCCCGTGAAGCCAGGTGAAAATATTCATTCGCGAGGGAAGATTCCGATGGCGTCCCGTATCGGCGTTCAGATTTTCCGCGTATAACCGGGTGGCGCTGTTCCGCCGGTACGACGACCGCCGGCAGCTTTCGGGCGATTTCGGGCAGACGTGCACAGGCCAGGTTAGGTCAAGGGGCGGGGGGAGAGGAGGGCGGCAGTTACGCGGCGTTCGACTTGACTCGGGTGGGGCGACATCACGCCGGAACGAGAAGCAGCACGAGAATCTCGCAGTGTCGAATCTCGCCGGTCGTCTTTCGTAGTTCTTTTCGGAATCGTCGTTGTATCGTCGTCGTCGTGACACCACGTATCTTCGATCGGTCGTTAAACGAGCACAAAAACCGGGAACGTCGTCGTGTATAGAACGCGTGTCGTGTTATAAAATCCTCCGACCGTTACCCCCGGTACTTGTGCGTGCGATCGCAGAAACGTGTTTCGGCTTTTTCGACTCGATTTCCGTGGGTGTCCCCGACCACGTGACACCGTACAGATCCCGAGAGTACTATTAACACCGGAAAGTGCGAGTCTCCCCGAGAAAGATTTTTCTTCGAACTGTCGTTTCTGTTCCGAGTGAATCCGCCGATCGATTATCGTTGTCCCCTGCGAGCTGCTCACGAACGAGAACAACCGAGGTCGTCGTACGCGTGCTTGGAGCCACCTTTGCTACAGGCAGAAAACGAGAGACCGGATCAGCTTTCGTTCCCGTGAATCGTTCAATCATGGAGATGGCGAATCGCAACGTCGAGGAACGGTTGCCGGAATCGGAGACGAGGAAGGTCTTGGCTGACAACGGGGATGCGACCAAGGACGAGCCGGCGACAACAAGGAACCAGACGATCAAACCCGTCGATCCCGGCCAGGTTCTTCCTCTGATGCAGGTAAGCTTACGTAACTCAAAACGGTCGTGTGCCGAGAGCAGTCGCCGCTGGGCTCGGTGTGTCTCGTGTGTTCCACGGATGCATACATACACTTCGGCCTAGGGTACATACATATAAATACGTGTGATCTCTAACGCGCGATCCGGAGCGTGCGCTCGAGATGTCGTAGGTGTCATTAACCGAAGGAAAAAGAGGGTTCTAGGTGATCGAGAAGTTTCGAACGACAATGATGCCGAGATTGATAGCGCGGAATGTTCGAGAGTCAGGCGATATCGATAATCAATCTCGATACGAGAATTTCGAACGAGCGAGGAATTTTTCCGTGTAATTTAATGAATATTTTCATCGGGGATGGTGTAGTTACGAGTACACAATAATGTGGAAAGTTAAGGTTTTGTCGGAGTCTTTCGCTTTTAGAAGGAACTAGAAACGTCGAGGGTACATAGTGCCATAACTATCAGAACACACGGCGTTTCAAGCGTATTCCGCATGCGTACCGATGTATCATGCGCTAACGTAGAATACAAATTCCTTTATTTTTCACTTGTGTCTTTATGAATTTTTTACTAATAGATTAGGTAGATTTTCCTGAGGAAACTTGGTTCGAGCAAGATATTATTTTTTCAGAGTTTTCAGTGGTACGTAACGTACAATTGTTTTATAGTTATTCGAATTACGTATTAGAATATTCTAACGCATTTATAGAGTAGTTGTGATTCGCAGTGAAGGCACGTTTTTTAACCTGGTGCCGGGCAATGTCAGTAGATGTTATTATCCACGACTTCTGTGATATTATAAAAAATACACAAAGCCCATTAACACATTCTGCAATGCATTATTAGGCATTTTTCCATGTGTTATTTAGGTATCCTATTTCAGACATCTTTTCATTCTCGACAACTGGACTATGTTACCTCAAAATGGCGGTCATCCGTGATGGGCAAATTGTAAATAAAATAACTCAGTGTCCGTGACCGGTGGCAATCATTGCGTTGAATATGTTAAACAATGTATCCAGGCATCTGCGATATTTAAGTATATCTTATATATCCTTTAAAAAAATACGTAAAAGTGACCCTCGATTCCAGATGAGGTAAGGGTTTGGAAGGTCCCGTAACGGGTTGATACGCGTCTCTCGTCTGGTAACGATTTCCCATGCTCTAGCGGCATGGTTGATCGATCTTGGTGCCGGTAGTGGAAGCTGCTCTTGGGTGTAGATTCCGTTTATACCGGTTGTAATACCACGGTCGCTCGTTCGGACCCTCGAGCCGTGGTCACGTGGAAACCGGGCGAATTTATACGGAACGACACTTATTGAATTAGCGTAACGGGTGTCCAAACATGATTCAGGTTGTTGGCCAATCGTTGTTGTCCGGGAATGTGTTAATTCGCCGGCGTACAACTTCAGCAACGACAAGTGCTGTCAGTCACGTGGATTTTTTTCGTGGGACCTTATTGCACGGATCATTGGGTATTTCTTCGAAGTGCGCGAATGTCGACCACGCGATCAACGTGTGGTACATTAATTAGTACAAGGGAGAGGTGAACATAAGCCTCGCTGAGAACTCGCCGTAAAGAGCAGTTGCATTTCCGTAGGTCGATGTCGCGTTCAATGGTTTTCTTCGCGATATAAGCGACTGGTAGATTCTTTACTGGGATGGTAAAACAATGAGGATATAACAATTCTAGGCTCTGATAGAAATTATGGAACATACAAAATAGAAAGTGAAAGTGAAATAACACTACTATACTACAGTTAACCCTCCACTGCACGTGTTGGGTCCGTGGGACCCATGAGGATATTGTTTTTCCGTTTGAGTACTCTTCATCCGCACACTGGAGGGTTAAGAAAAATCGTTAATACATCACAGTGTCCGTAAGAAACGAGAAAAACTACGATGATTCTAGAATTTTCGTGTTGTTTCGAATATTTTTGAATTTTCATCGGATCTCAGTTCTAACCAAAGATGCATCGATTACTGAACCCCGTTGTCCACAGCTCATAAGATACACATTATTTCTACGACTTCAATTTACACGTCTGTTTCCAATCGAAGATCAAAACCGTCCGCAAGATTATTTCCGAAAATACAAAACCAAGATAAATTATTTGTGGTATAATTTACAAAGCAACCGGTCGGGTGTTCGCATAAAATAACATAAAAACAATCTGAAAATAACTTCCAATCACCCGAGACCAAATCACACTTCAAAACCGTATCGTTCGCATAATGCCCAACCCAGTGCTGGATTATGAAGCGTGCTTCCTTTTTTAAGATTTTTTACGCTCCTGCGCGCCCATTATGCACGCCCACGCGGCGCCCCCACCCCCTGGATCGTGTTTTGTTCGAAATGACGTCACTAGAACCCGACTGTCTCGAAACTAAAGGATCACTTCCGGAGCAATGGCACCTTGGGAGTATCGATTGGCCGCGAGAGACACGCCTGAGGGCAAGACACGTCGGATGGTGTAGGCTGCGGCGACATTGTTCTCTATCGATACCGCGCCGAGCGGTTTCGTCCCATCCGACGATAAATCGCGAGCGGCGGCCGACGATCACGGCCGGACACGACGGATTTTAAACGTGATCGCGATATCGCTACGTCGTGAAACGAATTACAAAGGAACACAGGGCCCGATAGCGGAGGGGGGATGTAGACCGCGGAGCGAAGAGACGGTTATCGTAAGAGTTACATGTTTTTACATTCGAGCTCGGAATGCCCGGCCACTATCGGTGTGTTTACGACATTACAAACCATGCTATTGATAATTCATACCGCATGCGTGACCAGTCCAGATAAAACCGTTGGAAAAAAATAATATATCGTAATTACATTTTATATTCTTGTTTTTCCCCCTTGTGTATCGTTCCTCGTTCTTTTTTTTTTTCTACTTACGAACATCGATCACTGTTTGCCGTAGATATTATCTTGTGATATTTCTTCTGTCGAGAATATCTGGATATTACATCATCGGGCAATAATCTTGCGCTGCGCGCAGTGGTGTTTATAAGGGAACTTTAACCGTGATACGGAATATAGTAATCTTGCATCTTCTATTTTAGTAGTTGCATAAATGTCGTCTAGACAAACAGTTGCAAGCGTGGAATAACGTTTTCTTGCGCGGAGCCCATTCGATGGAATCGATTTTGCGGTAGAATGTATTGTACTGATAAAAAAAGCTAGGGTTTGGTGCAACGAATAGTTAAATGGTAGCAATAGTATGGTTACTATGAAGAAGTAATGAAAATCTTAGTGCAAGAACCAGTCGTCTCCAGAAGTTACGATTTTTCAGAAACTAAACTTACTTTAGATTTTTTTCTTGTACTCAGATTCGATTTGTCTGTTGCTAAGTAATCTTCTCCGTCTCGTGTAAAGTCTTTTTGTTAATAATTTCAGAAGTTCCCATTAATTTCTATGTCGGTACACAACAGAAGTTTCTGTATCACATATGTATGCCTCCGCACACGAATGATAACTTGTCTGCCTATTACTCACCGTTTCTACTTGCGACAAACATCAACTATATGCTACGTTGTTATCTGTTTTCCATGAATCTTGGAATCACTTATTTACGAGTTCTTATCAAACTATCATGGAAAAAAAATTATACCATATGTCCGTCAATAGAATTACCAGTGTAAGTGGAAATAATCAATAGTAGGCAGACAGACAGATCTTGATCATACTCAAGCCCCTGCGTATCTGATAAATCACATCGATTTACTCGTAATTGAAGGGTGAACGATTTTTATTCCACACTTTCTATTTATTTATTCATGTATAATAATCTACGTTTGAGCTAGTAATAATTCCAGCGCAGTTATTCACGCTTATTATTAGTCCCGAAGAGCGGATCAATTTTTTTGTCCCTCGATCGTCCGCGAAGACGACAAACAAACGCTATCGTCGACGTGCTATTTACTCTCGGAATCATAACAACGAGCGCTAGGAGGTCATAGTTTTTGTCGTCACTGTGTTTGACAGCCAAAGGAATGTTGAAAACTTTTCTGAGTTCGTGCATGATACACGCTCGCGTCGATTGTTTCCAGTGAGCGACTTCTTGTCTGTTTTACCTGTCAGACATATAACAGCCTCTGTTATTTACTGAAACTAGCAAGAAAAAGGTCGGCTGGTGTGTCTCGGTGTCGTGAAATCCGAACTGAAGTCGCTAACCGTACACTTCTCTCGCCTGTTTCTCTGTCCTTCTTTCGTTGAATAGCACGGACAACTTTCAGCGGCGACTGGTCACCTTCGATCGTGTTACATATCAACTTAATACCATTTTAATTGTCGAACTCTCCGGCTCTTAAGGAGTGGCGTGAAATTACACAATTACTAGACTTATCATTCTATATGTTCGAGATTTTCGCTTAACTTTCTCGAATTTGAATAACAAGACTCGTTCGTGTCAATCCAATTTCTCCGATTAAATACCACGTTTGAATACTCGGGTCTTCAAACAGACGTTTAATCAAACAAACATTACTGTTGTTTACTCTTTACGACTCGTGATTTTACGCACAGCTTTCAGGGAAGAATTAACTAGGGCGAAAATAGATAATACGGTTTAGGCTTCTAAATAAACACAGAGATTAATAATTCTTGAAGTAATAAGTTTGATTATTTTAACACTAAAACTACCAGCATTGTCTGTATGCTAAGTTAAATTCTGTAATATATAATACAATATAGCTTAGTACAGTGTAATATAAAGTCTATAACAAATTAAACAGTAACATCAATTTCGATGGAAGTATCTCTTGAATTTTAGTAATTGTACAATAAAAACTCTGAAATCCGTAATTTTGACAGGTTCGGTAGTTCTAGTGTTAAAACAGAGTAAAAAACACAAATCCTTTATTACTTTTTCATTCAAGAGAGTAGAGACATATCGAAATATTAGTGAATTTGATCAATTATTTACTCATACGAATTTTCTAGATTATGAGGGAAAAAATGGTCAACCTCTATATGAATTTTTTTAGCTTTTCACTGGA